AGCGCTAGGGTAACCCCAGCTGCCTTGTAAACGCTCTGCTGGGGATAACTCGCCTACCCGGGACAACTTTTTACTTGTTTCCAGGTAAGCATAGGTAAGTTGTCCCGGGTGGTAGGGTAACCCTACCTGTGAAATTTTGCTTGTAAACCCGGGCTATCTATGACCCGCCTGCTAGGGTAACCCTAGCACAAGGGTTACCCTCCTTGCTTGTAAACAGGGCCTAAATGATGATTGGCCCATAAGTAAGGGATTTTTCCTCCCCTCCCCTACCCCATTGGTAAGCCACTTTGTTTCAATTTCTGGGTTCGAGTGGGAAACAAATTTCCGTTTTGGTGTAGACTGGGTTCCAGTCTCGAACAAAATGTCCGACGGTGAGCATCAAGAGGATGAATTACTTGCTTTAGCTTCAATTTACGACGAGAGAATCTTCAATCAGTCATCAGAGGAGAAGGGAGGCCAGTTTAATGTATTTCTGGAGTTGCCTAAACCTTTCAAACTGAATATTCAGTCTAGATATCTACCAAGATATTCTACAAGGAAGAAGTTAGAAGCTTCTGAGAATACTTCAAATGCAGCCCAAAATGCTAAGAACTACGAGATATTAGAAGCGGATTATCTTCCTCCGATAGTGTTGAATTTTAGATTTCCTGGCGATTACCCTTCCAAAAGCCCTCCACTTTTTACTTTATCATGCAAGTGGTTAACTGTCTTTCAGGTATTACATAATGAATTTTTTTTATTTGATTCGTCTCAGCTGGAAATATATTAAGATCGGGAGTAGGCTTCGTTGCTTAAGACGTTTCAGCGTATCTATAAACTTATTCGAATGTAGTGGTGCTCCTTAGATCGAGGTTATCACATCAGGGAAATAACTTAAACTGTGGCTGAAAAGTTTACCTGTCCAAAGACACGGAGAATTTGCCATGCACTGTCAAGTCTTGTTGACTCTGTTTTTAATTAGTTCCTTAAATGGAAGAGACACAAATGAGGAGGAAGGGCGTTCAAACTTGGATGATTCTTAAGGCAGCTTTTAATATGTTGGAAAAGTTGTAGATAATTGGGATTTCATTGTTTCTCAAAAAATCATATATTTTGCTGACCTCGCAAAACTCCTAGCAGTAAACGTTTTTGAGTCAACCAGGATGGTGGAGAGGCACAGAGTGGGGGGAGAGGGGTGGAGGTCTGGGAAGGAAAGTGAATAAATTCTGGAATGCCTTGGTTGATTGGTGCAGTCACAGGTAATTGTTCAAGACGCACACAAAACTTCAGTTTTTGACTCATGACTTTGGTAGGTGTCAGGAATGATTTTAGTTTAATGCCTGGCATTCGTTCAGTTCTGATCATACAGCATTCCATTTGAAAAAAAGTAAAGAACAATGCCATTTAGAAATTTCCCGAAATCTCGCCCCCAACTGGGATACCGGAGAAACTTGAACATATTTTAGGAGGCAGGGGTTACTAATCTGATCTGATAATCAAAAGTGTGGTGAAATTTTGTAGCATTTCGATCTGCTCCTAGTTGGCTGGTTAGCTCAATTGGTAGAGCGCTGCACTAGTATCGCAGAGGTCAGTGGTTTGAAATGTGGTGAAATTTTATAGCATAACGATCTACACCTAGTTGGCTTGTTAGCTCAATTGGTAGAGTGCTGCACTAGTATCGCAGAGGTCAGTGGTTCGAATCCCGTACAGGCCTGATTTTTTTCAGGTCTGATTTTCGCTATTGCTTAAAATAGCGCTATCTGCTGCGAGGATCGTGCATCATACGTATTTTTAGTAATACTGATAACGATAATTTCTGTTTTTAGCTTTCCAAGCTGTGTAAGTGTCTTGATGACATGTGGGCTGAAGACAGTGGAGGAGAAGTAATCCTTTTCAGATGGACACAATTTCTTCTTGATGAAACACTGACGACATTAGATATTGAGAGTCCATTCACATTGAAGTACAAGAATGCCCATAGGAAGAACAAGAAACGAAGAGGAGATCCAAGGGCTTTCCAAGATGTTGCCTCCCATAATAAACTGGTTGATGCTATTTTAGAGTACAACCAACAAGAGAAGGAAAGAGTTTTTAGCAGCAGCTTTTTCGCATGTAATGTTTGTTTCAGCGAAAAGCCAGGATCACTTTGCATGGAATTCCATGACTGTGGGCATGTGTACTGTGTGGATTGCATTGCTGGCTACTTTAAGGTTCAGATTGAGGATGGGGCAGTAAAAGCACTGAACTGTCCTTCAGAGAAGTGCGAATCACAAGCTTTGCCTTCTCAAGTTAAGCAGCTTGTCAGTCCTGAGTTGTTTGCGAAGTATGACAGATTTTTGCTGCAGTACAGCCTTGATGGAATGGCAGATATAGTTTACTGTCCTCGACCCTCATGTCAGACTGCTGTCATGTTAGAAAGCGAATCATCCATGGGTGTCTGTCCGTCATGCTCCTTTGCTTTTTGTGCATTTTGCAAGCATACTTACCATGGGGTTTCACCCTGCGATATCAAGGGAAGTGATGCCCGAAGGCTTGCGGAAGAGTATTCTGCAGCTTCCAGAGAAGACAAAGAATTGTTAGAAAAACGTTATGGTAAACGACGGCTTCAGAAGTTGTTAGACGAAGTGGTCTCCGAAGAATGGCTTGATGCTAATGCAAAGCAATGCCCATGTTGCAAAGCAAGCATTCAAAAGATTGATGGCTGCAACAAAATGACTTGTCTAAAATGTCGGACTTACTTCTGTTGGCTGTGCATGGCAAACCTTCCACACAGTAATCCATACCAGCATTTCAACTCTCCAGGTAGTGGCTGTTTCAATAGGTTGTTTGAGGGTGTTGATGATGAGGATGATGATGAAGATGACGACTGGTGGTTATGAATTCAGAGACTAATTGTATTAATCAATGAATAGCCAGCAATCAGACTTTTATTCATAAACATTTCCCAGAAATTCTAAACCATTTGGAACTCTATTCCTAAATAAAACCTGGTTAGATTTTGCTCAAAATAAGATGAAGTAAATATGAAAATATGAATTTTTTTCCTTAGCTAGCTGTGGAACAAAGATATTTATTAATTGTCATTAAAATGTTAGAGAAAAACTACAAACAGAGTTGAAAAAATGGTAGTTCTTCCTGCCAGACTTTGCCTGCATTTATTTCAGGTGCATGACAAGTTGCATGTAATAAAGACAAGTGTTTTGATATCTTGGAAATATTTTAATATCAAGATGCTATTCTGTTATCTTCGCTGTCATGTTCTGAGTGACCGATTATGTATTTATCTTATGGGAGAGGGAAGTCCCCATGGTCTGGTTACATAACTTGGACCATCTTTGAAAGCAGTAGACCCAGTGTTTTTGCTATGTTCAGTGAGCCGGAGATGCTAGTGTTTTGTGGTGCTGTCACTCTATGTGCTCTCTCTGTGAAAAGACTAAACAACAGCTACAAAGAAGTCTAAAATTTTGATGGTTGTATTTGTCTAAAGTTTACCATTCTTCAAATTTTACTAGTTCAATATGGGCTGTCTTTAGATGTTCAGATATAGAATTAGACTGTTTTGCTCCTAGTATGATATAACCTCTTGGGCTTATTCTGCTATTTTTTTTAAGAACACACCTTCTGATAAAACCTTCCCCACTCTTCCCTAACATATTTAGTCCTGTTGTATTTAAAAGAAGATATTATGAAATTATATAGAACTTGTCTTTGGAATAAATTAAAAAAGAGAAAATTAAGAACTGGTAAACCAATAGATAGTTTGCAACCAATCTCAGGAGACGTAGGTAACAATGGTGAAAGGAACAAGTGCTGGTTGACGAACAAACGAAGCTAATTAGATATCTATTGTTTACGTCCACCAACATGGCGGCGATGACGTAACGTGCAAACCGTCTATTACGCCAATTAAACAAGAGTACCTTCCCTCTCCTCCCCCGCTTCATTCAATCATTAGCTGAGTTGTCCCGAGGCTCCTCTCGTCAGCAAACGTCACTGTGCGGGTGAACAGAATATTATGTAATCGAACACCGATCTCTCCGATCTCTTCTAAAATGCCGGCTAGAAAGTTAACGTTATACGCTAGTGTAGCTATAGGAGTAACTGGACTGTCAGTCTTAGGAATTGTTTTTAAAATTCGGCGAAAGAGATGTTCTGAGCTGCACACGTTTGGCTCGATGTTACGACAACATTTCGAATACTTCATATTTTCCCTCTTTGGGACGAGAATGACACGAAAGTTGGAAAAAGATAGCATCAATTTTATCCAAGTACAAGAAGAAACTTTGTTTAAGATTCTCAAGAGTAACGCTGGTACAGAATATGGACATAAGTACAATTTTGGTGACATTCACGATAAGGTCAAATATGTTAGTCAACACCCGCTGACGAGATACAATCACTATGAATCTTACATAGGTAGGTAATGCTATCATAAAACTACAGAATTTGCAAGATCTGCGCGGAACACGATGGTGTATAGAACTTCTATGAGTACAATTATGATTAAATACAGCGATAACAGTTTTATTTTTTTCTATGATTGGTTACAGACTTGCTGTCTGACTGAATTGGTGAATGACTAATTGACTGAATGATTGATTGAGTAACTGTCTGACTGACTGACAGGCTGATTGTTTGATTAACTGCCTAAATGATTGACATAAGTGCTGCTTGACTCAATGACCCAATGACTGACTGACCAACAAACACACTGGCTGGTTGATTGAGTGACTAACTGGCTGACTGACAAACTGACCTGCTGGCTGACTGACTGACTGACTGACTGATTGACTGACGGACAGAGAAAAAGACACAAGGAGGAGCATGACTTAGAAGTATACCCACTTCCGTATTTACCCGTGTGTGATGCGCACTTTTTTTCTACAAAAATAACCATCAAAATTGTGGTGCATTTTATACACGGAATCCATTGTTGGTCACGCATGTCCTAATTTGCATACATTAAAACACAACCAAAAAAGTAACACATTTAAATCTTTGATTAAATAACTTATTTTCAATCAAAAATTATAGGTGCATAGTAAGTTTTCACTCTAAAATCAAGAGGAAAGATAAAAATCGCTAAATATTTCTGCAAGTGTGTAAACAGACACATGGATCAGATTTTAAAGTGAATAAGCAAATTTGGCCACATGTGGAGAGATCTCATGTTACACAGGATTTTTCAATGAGAAGCAAGAAGAAAGTGAGCAAGAAATATTTCATGACAAAAGCTCTATTTAAAGCAGTTGATTTGCTGTTATGAGCGAAAAATGTGCGAATTTCTTACATGTACAAAGTGCATGCAGTGGAATTCATCATGGTTATAATTATTGTTGTTTACTTGACTTTACGGCCAGAAAATTGCACAGCGTTAGTTTGAAAATTCTAAAAATACCACAATATGACGCAAAATCTTCAATACTTTTCGGAAGTATTGCTGCTCAATCATAATTAATATGGGGCCATGGAATTGTCAAATTATCTAGGCCTCACTTGAAGTCCTGAAGTTTGATTTCAATAGTGTCATGAATAACTAAGTAGCAAAAGATATTGATGTTAACGATATAGTAAATTTCTTATTCTTGTTGTCTTAATAAATAATTGTACAAATATTTAACTTGTATTTTTTGCCATGAAAATTTTTTTTTCTGATAAATTAGGTTAAAAACAAGAGTGCGCATTATACATGGGCGCATCTTATACACGGGCAAATATGGTACCTGTCCTCACTACAATTCATCTTTTCCATGCATGTTAGAACCATTTTAGTCTTAATTAGACATTTCATCAAAATGTGAAATTATGTATCTTACACTTACAGAAAAGATCTCTCAGGGTGAGAAGAACGTTCTTACTGCAAAGGAGCCTTACCAGCTGGGTGTTACTTCTGGAACCTCAGGAAAAAGTAGTCTACTTCCAACTACAAATGACATCCCTCGCATCTTTTTCACCAATGGTGTACTTGTTGGCATAAATACCATGTTTGAGGCTTATCCTGGGGTAAGAAACCAATCAGATCCTTGGGGTAAGAAACAAATCATTCCCATAGGAGAAGAAAAAAAAATCTCTGGTATAGGAAACTAATCAAATCCCTAGGATAAGAAACAAAACAAATCTCTGGGATTGAAAACAATTCAGATCCCAGGGGTAGGAAACAAATCAAATCCCCAGGATAAGAAACAAAGCAAATCTCTGGGGTTGGAAACAATTCAGATCCCTGGGGTAGGAAACAAATCAAATCCCCCACATTAAGAAACAAATCAAATCCCTGGGGCAAGAAACAAATCAAATCCCTTAGTTAGGAAACAAATCAAATCACTGGGGTTAGAAATGAATCAAATCCTAGGGACAACAAACAAATCAAATCCTTGACAGTGTTTTCTCAACTTCTTTAATGCATACATGCTTGTTACAAAAGTAACATGCTATCTAACATGCTATCTAACATGCTTCTTCTCTGAAATTTTCTCCAAACAGTCCTACCAGCTGCAGAAAAACTTGAAGTTCTTTTATTCACCAAAGTGGCGCTACACATCCTCTGGCCTGCCCATTGGTCCAAATTCCTCATCACCCAGCAACTCACAGCGAATCCTCCATCTTTATACCACTCCAAAAGCAGGTTATGACATCATAACAGAACCAGAAGCCTTGTACATTCACTTACTGTTTGCTTTAAAGGATCGAAATCTAGGCATTTTGGAGGCAAATTTTTCCCAGCTGGTGTATTCCGGGCTCCTTGCACTTGAAGCTCAGTGGAAGTCACTAGTGGAGGATGTTGAACTTGGGAGGGTGAACCCAAATTTGAACATTAAAGAAGATGTCAGAAGGTAATTATTACCGGGTGGGAGACTGGGTGCTAAGAGGTGAGCACACTGGATTCAGGGTCAAGAAGTATAGGCTCTAGACTACACCAAGTCACTGTATTGTGTTTATGAACAAGACACTTTACCCTAAAAAGTGTGTCTCTTCATTCAGGAACAAAAAGGGGTTCTAGCAAACTGCCAGGGAGACTTGACAAAATGCTTGTTGGGGGGGAGGCCTGACAAAATGCTTGTTGGGGGGGGGAGAGGGAGATGTTGAAAGCTGCTCGAAAACCTGTGGTTCGAATTCTTACTGCGTGAATTTTTGAAGTTGATCGTTTGACCTCATTTTGTTCTGCACATCTAGGTGTCTTATAATCTTCCGTCTTTTCCATATTTTGTTCTTCCAAGTAAACTAGATAGCCTCCTCAAGCCTGATAATGAACGAGCTGACGAACTGGAGAGAGAATTTACCAAAGGGTTCGACGGAATTGTCAAGAGAATATGGCCACATATTAACTTAGTCCTCGCTTGTTCCACAGGTATACTAATTTATGACGGAGATCTAATTTCTCTTTACGAAACTTTTAATTTTCAAGTGGACAGGTGCAAAGGATTATGGTTATGATTAGCGTTTTTCTTGACTCCTTCCCTCAGGTGAATTGAAAACCCGTTATAACGGAATCCGTTCTAACGAAAAACGCGCTTTATCTATTACTGCTAGTCAATTTCTGATTTAGTGCTGAGAGTAATCTGGGATGGGCTCGATTTCCGCCGCTCTCTCGGGTCCAGTCTTTTTCTTTCCTCCCCGAGAATAGAGGAGAGGAGCGCGGGCTCCGGTTCGACGGACCACAGGACATGTATACTAGAGTTTAATCGCCAGAAAATTATTAGATGTTTTATTTTAACTACTTTGATACTTAGCCAAAAACCTCTATTTTCATTCTTCTAAGGTTCATCAGAGCTGTATGCCAGCAAACTAAAGGAAAAATATCTGGGTGATGTGCCAATTTACTCGCCGTTTTATGGATCGACTGAAGGTCTGATCGGAGTTAATCTGTGGCCACAAGAAACGACCCCAGTTTACATGCTGGTGCCTCGTGCAATGTTCTTTGAGTTCATTCCAGTGGAAGAAAGCAGTGAAGAACAGCCGAAAGTAAGAGGAATTTAACGCGCAGCACTCTGAAAAAACTCAAAGCATCTTTTCAATCACGTGTTGATACTAATCCAAGATCCCATTGGTTTACTTCGCTGTGCGCTGTTATTGGTCCAGAAAACTCGCGCCACTCTCTCAACCAATCAGATGCGCGTTTTACTGCACCCCAAGCAGTTCGCAAATTTTGACCTTGCCTCTTCGTTGGCCCTGTGGGATATATTTTCTTTGTTTTGATTGGCTGCTGTCAAAACTGTTCTTTTCTTTTTTAATAACGACACTTACACGTTATGTACTTTAAGAATTGTCACGACAAAAAGTGGAAGAACTTATACTTTGGTCTTTTGCCTGCGACCGTTTTTACATTGGAGCAAAATTATTTCCTCATGATTTAAACATGATCGCTTTAGAAATTGGTTTTTTTTTATACAGCTTTTAATAGATTCGTTTTAGGGAAGGCTAACTTAATATTTTGAAGTTAGGAAATTAAATGTAGGGGGAAGTCTGGTTGAAATTTTGAGTTGAATTATTAAGGGAAGTCAAGTGGACTGATAGTTAGCGCGCTGGACGGAGAAGTCTGGGATCGAGTCCAGATCAGAGGTGCTTTTGCGTTCGACCAAAATTTTCAGCGCAATCGAGTAATATTCGAGTAACACTTGTCTCTGTAGGGAATTTTTTCTCTCACGGTGGACAGGTAAAAATAATTCATACTGAAGTATCATGTGTTTGATTCAAAACTGTTCTAATATGACGACTTAAATTTCTGTTCTACAGACGCTGTTTGGTGAAAACATCGAAGTTGGAAAACTCTACGAGTTAGTGGTGACAAATCCTAGCGGACTTTACCGATACAGAATCGGAGATGTAGTCAAGGTTGCTCGTTTTCATAACAGTTGCCCTGTAGTAGAATTCCAGTATCGTCAAGGGCAAATACTTAATGTTCGGGCTGAAAAAACGTCTGAGCGCGTTTTCTACGACGCACTGACGGCTGCGCTTGGCCAGGAAGGACAGCGGCTTCAGATGGTGGATTACACTTGCACGGAAAGCGTTATGCTTAGCACACAGAGTTACGTGATTAGCGAAAACGTAAAAAGTGTGGCGCCATTTTATGCTGTGTTTATAGAGTGGAATGACAGGGAACAGAAGGAAGATGATATAAAAGGTGTTGAACAGAAGGTATGTTAGTGAAGCGGTTGACAAAAACCTCCTCCTTATTAACCATGAACTCTCTTGCGCTACGCTATCAGTTTCGCGTTGAGAAGGTACCTAAGCTAGTACACCATCATCATTATCATAATCACTTCGTGACCACACCCTCTCTCACTTGTCAACCTTTTACACCATAACATCAGCAAGCATATTCTCCATACTGTTCTCTTTACATTTCCTAAGATGCTGACGAGGAGAATTTGTTTAGCAATTAAGAGCTTCTGTTTGATTTCCTTTATTCTGGCGACATTGATGTGTGATTTAACGGTGGGTATTATAAGGGGAAGTTAGTAGCCAGTCATTTTTTGTGGGTTAAAGGGTGAAACGGTTTAATTTTTTTTTATCGGAAGTCATCCATTGAGTGCGTGCCGGTTAACAGGGAAATGATTCGATTTTCCATAATTTTTGTCATAAGAAATTTTGTCCGCAAGAGTTGGACGAGGTTAAGCAAGTTATCGTGACCTGGTAAATCGCACAAGTATGCGATAACTAAGTTTGATGACTGATTTATCATTCGATCACCGAGTTTTTTGTTTTTGTTGTTGTTTTTTACTTTTAGTTCCTTTTCCAGCAACTTGGTGCTTTTTTAACATTTTCGTGCCTGTTCTGCATTATTTGTTCACTTTAGCTGTTGTTCCTTTCCCCTAACTAGAATTTTCTTCTTGTGTTTTCCACATCTTAGATCGACGAGGCGTTATGTAGATTCAGTCCCGTTTACGAGTCGTTCAGGCGCAAGGGAAGCATATCTTGCTTAAAACTCTTCGCAGTAAGAGAAGGAACTTTTTGCGAACTGCGACAATATCTGCTCCGCAACAATCCTGCAGCGGCTAATCAGATCAAAATACCGCGGGTTGTGAAGACGAAAGAGGCGCTCGATATCTTGTTGAGAAATACGACAACGTAAAAGGCGTTGTGTTACAATATTTTGAGTCGTTTGGGACGGCGTTTAGAATTACCTTGAACATGAAGGGAAAGTCAAGATATTAATTTGGTAGGGAAGAATAACTCCAAAAGGGAAAGAAAATACGAAAGGAAAAGAAGGATTTGCAAGTATAGAGAAGATTTACACGGATTGCTAATTTGCAAACAGCTACATAATTCTTGTAGTATCTGTTATCCAAATGCATCTAACCAAACGACCGTGCAGTCGCCACTGCAACTGAGCTTTTTACCTCATTTGAGTATCAAAAAGGGAAAAATGAGAGTCCGTGACTTGCAATAACATTTGTGGGGTATATGCTATATTTTTACTGCCTGTATGGTGGATTTAAAATATGTTAATTATATCTTTATTGTTCGTCAAGCTGGTTTTAAATGCGATTCCTAGTTAAGAGGAACGATTTAAGTGAACTCGAAATTCCTGTTCAGCCGTTAGCTCATTTTAACTCATCATTTACTAAAGGTGTTAAAGATTTTATCCATAAATTGCTCTTGAAAAAAGCGGGATGTATAAAGAGAGATTTTGCCAAAGACAGCGTTGAATTTAAACAGGCCGTCGTCCTTTACCGTTAGCAAAAATGCGTCCTGCGAAATTGACCAATGACAACGCGCGTAGTAACTGCGAGATGTAAAAAGTGATTTTAATCCTAACACTTCGTAAACTCGGTGACGCGAGTACATTTAGGATCTTAAATACGAATTTTACGCTTTCATGATTTTAATCCTGACACAAATTTCTTAATGGACTGAAACGGTAATTTCACCTTCACATAAACCTACATTCGAAAGCTTTGAAAGCATATTTTGATTTATTTATGTCGCCATTTAGATAATAGATAAAACTCATTTCGCCTCTGCAGTCGTTGTTCTTTTAAAGATCATCGCTAAATCATTGCAGTGGACTCAGTTTCATTAAAGGCTGGATGCCTCTAGGCGTGATCTAAGTACATGTAAACTTGTTTGCTCAGTGCTTGTAAAATTAGCTCCTTCTTCACTTCCTCATTCTTCAGCTGCCCACGAGTCGTTAAATCATTTCCATCAGTCTAGAAGCGTCTTTAGTCAAAATTTGGAGAATTATTGACCAAACAAGGGAATGTTTTGTAGCATTTTTTAAAAACGGTCTTAGTTTCAAATCTCCCAAAATACTCCGAGAGAACTATCAACCAGCAGTTGCTGGTGAAGTCTTGTAACCCCTTTTTTTCATTATCTTTTTAATTTCGTCGTTGCTGAGCGACCATCGGCTTACGAACAGGTGCTCGTTCTCGTGTCCAATCTCAAAGTTGTCCTTCTCAAACGGCATCCACGTTTTATTTGTTTCGCCACGATTCAAAACATTCTGAGTTTGAAATAGCTCGTAGACCTTTACGGTCGCAATTAAGACTTTAATTTTTTCCGTATTACCAAAACGGATATGTCGGTTAAACTTAGCCAACGAGTAATTTCTTCCTTTTCCGGAAAAATATTCCAAAGACTTCAACGATTTTTCTCATAACCCGAGTTTCCATTCCGATATAGCTTATCTACAGTTTTTTGTTTTCTTCTATCTTCAACTGTTTCGCAGGTATATCGTTACAGAAACAATCTGTCTGAAAATTGAGCTGGAAAAAGGAATAAAATTAAAATGGTCCGGTAAATGACAGTCATAACAGGTTACAATCCTGTTTGCGACCGATAATTACCTGAACATGACGTAAGAGCCTTTAAAAATCCTTTTTTCGGGGGATTTTGCGTGGTGATAGAATATGGTACTTGAGAAATAATTCAGTGGCCTGTTTATGTCAAATTCCTCACGTGCCTGGGCGGTTTTTTTTTTTCCAATTTGCGGCCTTTCTGACACCTCCGACGCCCACCTTGGTATTTGCGCTAGTCCAGACCGTTATCTTTTAGGGCACATTTATTGTACCTCTCAAACAGACCCAGCCCAGAATTTTGCGTCAAAGACTCACGAATCGATTGGCTTTCATAAATGATAACTAACATAACAACTGGAGCTAGCAAAGCCATCGAATCCCTCTTCTTCGTGGTTAATGTGTTAAGTCTGTTGCTTGGTCTTCGTAGTTCATGAAACCTAGCAAAAGTGGTGGAAAATATGTTAAGCTCGACAGCCTCCAAAAGTTATGTCAAAATCTGCATATTAAAATACCTAGTTGAAGGATATCTTGTTTTTATAACCTGTGTTCTGTTGGAGAGCATCACATCCCATGTTAAAGTAAAAACTGTAGACGAAAACTACTTTTGATAAACCTTCTGTGAGGCTAAAAACCCAACCTAAACTCCGGTCAATGGTACTCCCTGGTTGTGGTTAATTAAGCCTCCCCCTTGTTTTTGTTGTAAGCCTTCTCACGTGTAAGGGTGGTTCATGCGTTCAACTTCACGTGTACCGGTTTTCTCACGCGTATCTTAACTACCGGTTCACTTTACGATAGTAACAATAATAATAATGCATTTAGCGCCATAAAAATCTCTCAGACTGTGATAATGACTGCATATTAGACGAAACTGAGCGAAACCTTAGTATTTAGGAAGAGATCATTGTAGGGGGCACGAGCCCATTTTATTTTAATTTAACAGGCCATTCTGCCGTTCATGTTTTCTGTTCCCCAGCCTCCGCCCAATCTTATGCGTTTTTAAAGTTTCTGTTTGCGTCTCGAACGAAACAAAGCAAACCATTTTCTCTCAGATTGGCGTTTACGTTTTTGCTCTCAACTGTCGATCGCACAGTGTTTCCATTTGAAAAAGCATAACTATTGATGCATTTTCGACCATCGTGCACACTACGACCCCAAAAGCGAAGAGTGGAAATGACGGCATGTGGCGCATTTTTTGTAAACGTTTTAAAACGTTCTGAAAACTTCCATTTTCTACGTCCAGACCAGAAAAGGAGCTCTCCATGTACTCCACTTTTTAAACTGCTCTCGGAAGTCTGCGCCTTTTCATCAGCGTTTTCGAGAGTGTGGAGGATAGGCAAAAACGCATGAAAAAGAAACGTTTTCGCATGAAAACATGTAAGTGTGTAAAGAAAATAAATTAAAATCAAAATCTTCTTATTTTGCTGATGTCAGAATAAGACACCAGTTTGGTCTCTAATCCGGGCATGAAATGTAAAATTCGAGAGAAAAAATTTTCCTGATTGAGACATCTCGTAATTTTTAAAACTCCAGACAGAAACCATTATCGTTATTCCTTGCTTTGATATAACCCTATATAACTCTCAAGATGTGATTATAAATTCTGCCCTCTAACTGCTACACATTTCCTTGTTAATTAATTTCGAGAGTTTTCTCGACAACTTGAACAACTGCTATCTGATACGTTTGAGTTTTCTCATTACCTGTCTGCTGGGTAATGTAGGGTTATTATGAGGAGAAGGTACATGGTATACCAGTAGCTTCTGGGAATTAAAGGGCTAAAATCCAAACCCTAATCAGCAACACTTCCTCAACACAAGTAAGCTTCCCCCTTTCCCACCCCTGTTTGTCATCATTATTCGCATTACCACGTGAAAGCGGGATGCATGTGCGCGACTTCACGTTTAAGTTACACTCACGCGTATCACAACTGCCAGTTCGCCTTAGGATAATAGGGCGTTTAGCTCCCTAAAACATCTCTCAGATTGTTATAATGACTGTATATTAAGCGCAACTGAGTAAACAAAGACAAAACAGTTAGGAAGTAGCAAGGCGTATTAGTATATGCCAATCGTCTAAATAGTACTTTTCGCGGACGCTGATTGGCTAGTTCGGAAGTGATTACCAAGTACTATTCACCGCAGCGTTCTTTGGTTTTAAGTATTGCCGTGTGGTTTTCGCTTTTTTTTTTTTTTTTTTCAATTTTAACACAGATATAATGTGAATACCAAGCTGAGTTGCAATCTATTACCACCGCTAGGGTTCTTGTTTAGTTTCAGTTCCCGGTGGCTTTGGTTTTTGATGATAGCAATTTTTAAGACTCGTTATTTTTTTCTTCTGTTTGGTTATCATGCTCCAGTGTTAACTCATTTTGTAAAATAGCACTAAGGATATGGTTCGATAGTTCTCACCGCAATAGCGCTTTGAATTCCATGTATGATCAATTTCCTTGTATTCACATTGCTACTTGAGAATCGTTCATGTGAAAAGAAAGCTAAAATGCATTTCTGTTTTTTTATTTTCTGAAGGAATCTCTAGCGATAGTAAATGATAGAGCTTCCAGGCATAGTGTATTTTTCCGATCTAGGTGAAGGCAAATAATTGGTATGCACAAAGATAGTCTTGAATTAGAGTATTTGAAAAAAAAAAAAAAAAAAACTCTTAAGGAAAATAAGACGAGCCACCTTTGTCTTTGACGGTCATAAATTTAAAACGTTAAAAGCTTTCCCTACCGCACGTTCAAAATTCATGGTGCGGTTTTTAATGAAAACATTAAAAAAAAAAAGAGAGAAACAAAAAAAAGAAAGAAAGACTGCTTCCCTCCCCATTTTATAAAGGATAGTTGTTGGTCGTAGATTACCCTCTTACCCTCCGGCAGCATTTTGTCAAATTTCCCCGAATACACTGCGGTATTCATTTACTTTCCAGGGAGCACTGTTAGATCGACCCTGGCCTTGACTCGAACCAGGCTACGCGCCAACTATCAGACAATTGTGTTCTACACACGTTTGCATGCAAACCAAAGCTCACTCTCTAACGTGGACGAATAAAAAACCAGATAAAATGCAAACTCTGATCGAACATTAATATTATCGTGTTATTTGATGGCTTTTCTTTTTGACAATTGTAACCCAGTAAGCCATGACTTCCGCAATGTTATTTTTGCCATTATGTTGTTTACGTTTTGGATTTCCTATTTTCTGTAGAGTCTTCCTTTTTTTTCAAGCTAATTTGAATATTTTTAGTTCCTGTTTTACGCCGCAGTTTGTGATGGTAACACGCGTGGGAAATAGTATAGATCATTCAATACGTTTTGTATCAAGTCGATTTTCTAAATGTCCAGTTCTATTTCTGATTTATTTTTTAATAAAAGTAATTAAATAATGATAGCAAATTTTTGAGAAGAGGACAAAACCTTTACATTACTTTGGTCGGGTACAAAGTCCAACGCAGCTCTCGTGTGCTCTCGAGAAATAATTAGCTATTTGGCAGGAGGAGAGACGGAGCGTGTCTGTGATAGCCTAGAAAGAGGAACTAGATTCGACGTTTTCGATTTCCTTTTGTTTTCTTTTCGCTTCGTGATTTAAAGGGAAAAAAAAACCTTTTTTTCGTAATCCGAAAGTCAGTGAAATTACTTGAAATACTTGAGTATCACGTTTTCATTTGTACTTCTCGTTTTTATTTCATTATTATTATTTTCTTTTTTCTGCTCTGTAATTATCTATTTACAATACAAACTCTTTTAATCCCAAACAACGCTTGTCGCTACCAATTTTTAATGGATTCTTGTAATTTACCAAGCACGGGAGGTACAATAAAATCACGCCACTGCTGGCAGGAGTTGTATAATTTGTTATCTTATCAATATGCTTGAAAAACCCGCAAAAATACGATTTCTGTGATGGTTAACCTGCAATAAATTTGGGAGACTTTTTATTTGTTTGAAACGTCTCAACACTTCTTTTGCATGTAATCTTAAAAAGTTAAATGTGCTTTATTACATTTTGACGAGTTTCACTTTGCAGACGTAAGTAGATATGCGTCGGAAAATTAAAGGAATGAATCAGGTTCGTTTATAAAGTAAGCCATTAAAAAAAATTGTGGCTTTCGTCTGTTATATGTTATGTGATGAACAAAGCGTGACAGCTAGAAAATTTTTTCAAAGCTTTTCCAGCATTCCGATGAAGAGATTTTCTTTCAAATATTTGAGATTTCTGTCAATCATACAGTAAAATGTCTTGGTGGCCTTGATTACATTTCAAGTCAGTGGAATTGTGAGCTTGTGGCAGTTTCCGGCAGTGACACTAGAAGTGTGTTGCAGTTATAG